TCTCGCTGCCCAGGCGGGTCTCGAACCCGCGGGCTCAGGCAATCTACTCACCTCAGCCTTTCAAAGGCGTGGGATTACAGGCTGAGCCACCGAGCCCGGCGTTCCTCTTCTTTAACAGGGAAACTTCAGCATAGAGAGCTCAGGTAACCGCCCAAGCACACAGCTAGTAAGTGACTTGACTAAGCTTCCATTCATGGTCCTCTGTCACCAAGGTTTTTCCTGTTTATACCATGCTCTCTACTGATTGTATTGCTCCAAAAGCACCACTTTTAGCCTGTGGACCAACATATTAAATGGAGATGTTTTGCATCGCCCATTGGTTTGCCTGATTGGTTGAGCTTGGGAGTAGTTGGCCAGCATGTCCATACATAGTTTTGTCAAGTGTCTTCAGGAATGTGAGAATAGCAGCTCTTCTTGCTGCCAGCATGGCAGGAGGGCCTAGGCCCAGGTTGTCCAGAAGCTGTGCCAAATTAGGTTAAGTTAAAAGGGGGGAGGTAGGGAGAGACTGGAGTTTAGCTCTATTTTATGCCGTTTAGAATTAGAAACTTGATTATGAAGAACCCATTCCTGCCAATTTGTTTCCAGGAGTTGTTCTGTAATAACAGCTCCAGGGACCATTACCAACCTGAAATCAATATTGAGCTTTTACAACTTGGACGAGAGATGTTTGATGAAGTGGAATCAAAGCTTGACAGTAGATCATTAAGTGTTACCAATATTCCTCAACTGTTGTTAACCATTTCGTCAGTTGTTTGATCATGACAACAGTAATGATCCCTAATACAATGGTTGTCCATCAAGCCTGTCTCTCCCCAGACAGTCTACTTAATCAAGAACTCTAAAGTGGCATTTCCTGGGGAGAGTTGGCAGAGTCCCCAGGAGGCTCCCAGATGGCTCTGTAATCTGGAGGAGAGAGAGGGTTGCCCTGTTTGTATAGTATATACTAAAACGGTTCCATAAGCTAACATCAGTCAGTCACTTTGCAAGGAGGCCAGAACATCACCCTAAAAGAGCATGCACATCATTCTGGAGGGAAAACGGCATCTTTCAAGGAGGCGCTTCCCCTGAAGGTGATTATTAAGAACCGTTGATGCAAAGGGTTACTTAAACCTGGATGGAGAAAGTGGGGCAATTCCCAAAACTAGAATTGGGAAATGTGTAGCTCATCAGGCAGTGGCAAGAGCATGTGCCTCCCCAACACCTCTGCTCCAAGCTATAGAATGACCAGGTCTGGGTGCCCTATTGGTACAGACAGCCAAGGTCAGGTGCCTTCCTCAAGTCTACAGCAGCAATAGCAACAACTGGTGCTTTCTGGATGAGTCTGCATTGGCTCCATTTTGGCATTCTTTTTTTTTTTTTTGAGTTGGAGTCTCACTCTGTTGCCCAGACTGGAGTGCAGTGGTCGCTCCCGGCCACCGCAGCCTTGACTTGCTGGGCTCTGGCGATCCTTCTGCCTCAGCCTTCTGAGTAGCTGGAATTACAGGTGCGCGCTACCACGCCCGGCTAGTTTTTGTTTATTTATTGTAGAAATGAGGTCTTGCCAAGTTGCCCGGGTGGGTCTCAAACCCGTGGGCTCAGGCAATCCACTCACCTCAGCCTCCCAAAGATGCGAGATAACAGGCTGAGCCACCGAGCCCGGCTTCATTTTAGCATATTTTATTGGCTTCTGTTTGGGATGCAGCTTTCAAACTCTGCTGATTTTTGTTTTTGTTTGTTTGTTTGTTTGTTTTTCCTATTTCAAACTATCTTTGTCAAAACCAAGAATTCTGTCCTCAGCCCTCTGGTCACTCCTGGGTGGCTGCTTTAATACTATGATATTTGGTAAATGAGCCACGGGGTATGAGGCCTCCTCCCAAGTCCTGGAGCTGAGTGTCCCAGGTCCCAGGACCATAACCAGCCCATGCTTGCTCCACTGTGGCCTCTGTCTGCTGCTTCTGGCCAACCCAGGGCCCATATGTGAGGAGCAGGTTTTCCTGCTCCCAACTGACCAGTCTACTGCTTCTTCTGACCACTCACTCCTCCAGGATAGTGTGAGGGTCAGGGTTAGGGTGAGGATTCGAATTGGGGGGAGTGGGGAGGGTGGAGTTTGGGTTGGGGTGAGGGTTAGGGATGGGGTTAGAATAAGACCCAGAGTTGGGTTGTGGTTTATGTGTTCTCCTCTCCCGAACTCTAAAGAGTAAAGTTCTCTGTCTCCTTCTCTCTGTATTTCCATCCTTCAGACCTTCTTTCTCTGTTTGCCATTCTATTTCTCCTCTTCTTCTTGGTCTCTTTCTCTGACACACACACACACACACACACACACACACACACACACACACACACACACACCCCCACACACACCCAGTGTTTGTTGACCTGTCCTTACTAGGCCCCTTCCAGACATGCCCGCAGTCGCTGGCTTTTTTTGTAGGAAGCAATGGCCCTGTGTCTCTAGGACAAGGTCTTCAGGACAAAGGTAGATGGAGGATGTTGTGCTCAGCTGCTTCCAGTGTGACCCTGGAGGGAGTGCACCCACAGAGGCTGCCTGCTGAGTCTCCCTAGTCCCACCCACCCCCCCCAAGTTCACTTTGACCCCATGTCAGGGCTGGGTATAAGGCCATCTGAGGTCCCCTGAGCCCCACCAGCTCCTCTCTGCAGGGTACCATCATTTTACCCAACCTGGCCTCCGTGCTCTATGACCCTGAGTGCTGGGAGACTCCTCGACAATTCAACCCCGGCCACTTCCTGGACAAGAATGGAAATTTTGTGGTCAATGAGGCCTTCCTGCCATTCTCTGCAGGTAGTAGGCACAGTGCTGGGTCCTGGGTGAGGCTTGGGGGTGTGGTGGGATAGACACAGGGACAGCTGCCACCCTTTGACCTTTCTCTCTTGCTTCCAGGGCATTGGGTGTGCCCAGGGGACCAGCTGGCTCGAATGGAGCTCTTCCTGATGTTTGCCACCCTCCTCAGGACTTTTTGGTTCCAGCTGCCAGAGGGAAGCCTGGGACTCAGGCTGGAGTACATCTTTGGTGGCACCCTGCAGCCCCAGCCCCAGGAGATCTGTGCAGTGCCCCGCCTGGGCAGCCCAATTACTAGGGAGGAAGACCTGTAGCCAGCTGGGAGTCTGGTGGCCTGTCCTCCACGAAGTCCTTCCTCGGTCTCTCTTGGCTTCTGCATCATTAGAAAAGAGGAAGAACAGGGGTTACTCGTTGGCCCATGGATGACATTGGAGAGTAGACTTACAAGGATTCTGCAAAAATAGCTGTTTGGATAACTCAGCCCTTAGATTAGTTATGCTTTGTCAGGGAAGGACTTCAGGTTAGTTGCGTTTGAGGTTAAATCAGTCCACAAAGTACTTTTTTGTGCGTCAAGCCTCACAAGGGAGCAGCTAAGTAAGTTCAGAGGGAAAGGCAAACTTTCAAGCAAAACTATCCATGTGATGCATGCAAATACCATGAACGCTGGAACGAATAAGCCAGAAAAATGGAAAACTTATTTTCTGCCTTCTCCTGCCCTCTCCTGACCAGAGAGAAGAAGTGCAGGTCCCTGGAGCCCTAAATCAGGAAAGCTCTCCCCCAGTTTCTAATAGGCAAAGCCAGCAGCCCATGTACTTGTCCCCTGGAAAACCTCCACAAAGGTCCCCCTTCACTTTCCCCACAAGAGTTCCCAAGTTTTGAAACATTGAATCTTCAGACAAGTCTTGTTTATTACTGAAGAATGACTTGCATTAAGGAAATGCTAATTAAAATAAAAATAAGATATCATTACACTCCAATTAGAATTGCTGAAAACAAAAGTCTGACAATCCCAAGTGCTGGAAAAGGTGCGGAGCAGCTGGAACTCTCACACACTGCTAATGGGAATGTAAAATGGTGTCACCACGTTGGAAAACAGTTTGGCAACTTTTTGGTAAACTTAAATGTCATACCACACAGCCCAGCCATGCCACTCCTAGGTATTTTTTACCCAAAAGAAATGAAAATACAACTGAATACTATATGATTTCACTTCTGCGATATTCTTGAAAAGGCAAAACTATAAGGACAGAAAAGTGGTTGCTGGGGTCTAGTAGCAGGGTTATGGATTGACTCTAAAGGGACATAGGGAACTTTCTGAGGTCATGAAAATGTTCTATGTCTTGACTGTGGTGATGGTTACATGACTGTATATGTCAAAATTCAGGCAATTGTACATTTTTAAAAGGTAGATGTTATTGTATACAAATCAAGTCTCAATAAATTTGGACTTTAAAAAGGATTTGTCTTTTCTTCCTTATGGTATTAAAAGATGTAGATATGAATAAACCAGTGTTGCTAAGTAATACGGATAGTCATCATTACCATGACATTGGGCTGAGAGGATTCCAGACAGAGGTGAGAAAATTTGATGTATTAATTAGCCTCTGGCCTTTCTGCAGGCAAATGCACAAGTTCCTCGAGGCTTTTTGAAATCTTGAAGCTTTCTCATAGATACCCTGTTTTCTGTGTGGAACTGTACCCAGCGCCTAAGGAGTCCAGGAGATCCCGCTGAGAGGTGGCAGCTGTTTGTGATCAGGGCAGGCTCAAGGGAAGAGAAAACAGAGTCAGGCTCGAATTCCACTGCTTCTTGCCTCCCTTGACCCTGTTGGTCCCCTCCCTGTTAGAGCCCCTGTGTGGAGCTTCAGGCACCCTTCTAACACCCACCCCACCACCACCTGGCTTTCTCACTGCGATCCTGCCTAGCCCTCTGCTTGTTATTCCATTCAAAGGACAACTTCTCCAGGACTTTGGTGTTGGTTGAAACCCCGGTTCTGCTCTCAATAGCCCAACTATGAGCTGCGTGAGTTTCCTTCCTTGTCAAGTGGAGCTCTCCCTTAGGACTGTTCTCAGCACAGAACCTTGCACAGGATAATTGCTCTGTATATACTGGTGGGGCTGTTTCTCCATACTACATCCAAAAGCACTCTTTGTTTATGGCCCTAAAATAAAATAACAACGATGAGAGGCACCCCTCCCCTGTGCACGGGCTTCCCTTTCAGTTTCTAACTATTATCTCTTACTGATGTGATGATAGTTAGAAAGTGTTGAGAGTCAACCATGTGCTAGCAAGTGAACTGGTTACCTAACATAGTCATTTAATCATCAACTGACAAGATAGACATAATTATCTAAACGTATAGGAATGAGAGTCAGAATCTTGCCCAGAAACAAAGAGTTAAAAAGTGTCAGAATATCAATAAGCCTTGGTTCCCTCATCTACAAAGTGAAGATAATAAAACTAACTAATTGATTAAGATGAATTAAGTATAATAATGCAGCCAAAAGACCTAGCACAGTCCTGCTGGACACCAAGTGTCCAATAAATGGCCAGATACCAAATGATCCTTACCTGCATCACAGGCAGCACACCCTAAGAGAACCTTCCACTCTGCCTTGGCTGACTGACCTCTGGCTGTCTCCTGAGGACATGGCTTCGCCTGCAGCCTCTGAATGAAGGCTGCTTGTTTCTTTTGTGTCTGTTCAGGTTCTGACCGGAAACAGCCCCCCTCACTCAGATTGAGCAGGGAGGAGAGTTTAAAAGCAGAGAGCACAGAAACCAATGCAGGTGACCCAAGGACGAAAAAAGTGGGAAGGACGCGTGCTCTAAACTATGTTTCTTCCATGCTCCAGTCTCCTGTTTGTGTCTGTGACTGGCTGAGCCTAGCAGGCAGAAAGGAACGCACTGATGTGCTCCGTAAAGTTCTCCCTCCAGGGCCCTGCGGCAGCAGGTGATCCAGAGGGGGAAGCAGGGGACATTCAGCTTGTCCCAGCACCTCCTCCCTTGGGTTCTGGAGGTGGGCCACATCTTCCTCATGCCCTAAGGATTCTTCCAGATTACTTGTCCTGAGACCACGTTGAGCGTGTGTTTCTCCTCTACTGAGACTCTGGCCTGGATCTGCAGCACCTCTTCAAGCATTGCTAATTGCCTTCTGGCCACCTCTTCTCCTTCACAGAAATCTCAGGATTCCATAAGGTCCTTGCCATCACCCTCATGACCCCAAAGTCACATGAGCAGCCAAGTGAATAGCCAGGACTCAGTTTCTGGTCTTCCCATCTTGAATGATATCCAGTCTCAATCCTTTTCAGACATCAGCTGCTGTATGACCACACTGAGGTTCTTGTCATCACCCATAAAAGCTCACTCTCTGAAACTGTAAATTCACAGATCCTTATCGAGACCTATGAAGGGTCCAATATATTACTATACTGGAGGACTAACAGGTTAGCCAGGCATAGTTTTTATTTATTTATTTATTTTTGAGTTGGAGTCTCACTCTGTTGCCCAGGCTGGAGGGCAGTGGCACACTCACAGTCACTGCAGCCTCGACCTGCTGGGCTCAGGCGATCCTTCTGCTTCAGCCTTCCAAGTAGCTGGAACCACAGGCATGTGCCATTTTTCTTGATTTATTGTAGAGATGAGGTCTCACCAAGTTGCCCAAGCTAGTCTCTCAAACCTGTGGGCTTAGACAATTCTCTCACTTCAGCCTCCCAACGTGCTGGGATTTACAGGTGTAAGCTACCATGCCTAGCTAATAAATGAAAAATTTGGAAGGGCTTCCCACAGATACTTGGTCTCCAGTTTTTTTATTTTGTTTTGTTTTCCCCATAGAACAAGCCTTACCTCTCCTGGGAATTTATGGGTAGGCATTATTTGCCCACACACATTAACCTATCTTGTCAGGATAGGAGCTTTATAGACTTTTGCCTTAGACATTTCAAGACACTTTAGTCCCAGAATGTGTTAAAGGAAAACATCACTGGTGTATTTTCTTCACCCCCCCCCCCTTGTCTTTCATCTCCAAACCTGCCATTCTAAACTCCACTATGATTAAAAAAAAAATTGCCAGTCAGCTTCCTACTGAGTCCTATCAAAAGAGGAACTAGGAGGGAAGGGAAAAGGGGACTTCATTCTTGTTTCTTTGCTGTTCCTGCCAGTGTTGTCCCAGCAGTGGCACTTGATGCTAGCCTCCACATTCGTTAAACTCTTCTAGAAGCAGACTTATTGGGCCATTTCAGAGGTGCCAGCAACAACTGGGAGATATTTGCTTCTCAAAGGACTGCACACCCATTCTGTAGAGTCCATTATCCTCCATGCCACGAGCTCCTATGTTCTGGTACCCACAATTCTTCCCTTTTGTTTGAGGTTTTTTAAAAGTTAGATTAGAAAATATAGTTTATTAAAAACTAAGAAAGAAAGAGGGAGAGAGAGGAGATTCACCTCCCTAAGTTAGGGGAGGGGGCCAAAGCCAGGAAACATAGTTCAGTCATAGGTCAAAGAGCACATGGCCACACCATAGCTTACTAAGGCCCTGAGTTTTGAAGATGGTAGCACTTCCTGCAGTTATCACCGTTGGGTTATCTCAGGGTTCCCTTTTGCTCTAACACCTGTGTGACCAGGTCCCTATAGAGAGTACCTTCTGTCGAAATACTTATTGTGGTCTTTGTTTTCTAAACTAGACCCTGATCAATTGCTCAGTAGAACCTACATTTACCTAGTAGATATGATTGAGTAGGGAGCAGAGCTCTCCTCCTGATCCTGGGTTCAGGAAAGTCCATAGTCAGTCAGTCTAACCTGAAACAAAAAGAGACATTCAAACTTTTTATGGGTCTTAAGAGATGGAGAGGAATGATAAACAATGAATAGACTCAATGTATGACCCCCCAACTGAGAGAGAGCTTTCTGAACTGCAGTCTCAGGGACACAGCCGAAGTATGGAAGTCTGGCACCACAGAAGTCAAGTGGAAGAGAAATGTAAAGACAAGGACCTGGACACCCCACTCGCCCATCCTTCCCCTGTCCCCTTCCTCTCTCTTCCTCTCCTCCCCCATGAACTCAGGGTTCATAAAGCATCAAGTCCTGTCAAAACAAGGCAAAATATTCTGGAAAAAGAAAATCAGACTCAAAAATTTAGTCATAATTGTTTATTTTTATCTGTGAACAGGAAGAAGAAATGGGTAAACATACAGCACTGGCTTGGCTCCCAAGTCTTTTTACTTTTCTTGCATTTCCTGCCAATGAATCTTCAGTCTTTTTAATTCTTTTTTTTTTGTTTTGAGCCTGAGTCTCATTCTGTCTCTTAGGCTGGAGTGCAGTGGCATGCCCTTGGCCACCACAGCCTTGACCTGCTGGGCTCAGGCGATCCTTTCGCCTCAGTCTTCCAAGTAGTTGGAACCACAGGTGTGCGCCACTATGCCTGGCTAATTTTTCTTGATTTATTGTAGAGATGAGGTCTCGTCAAATTGCCCAGGCTGTTCTCAAACCTCTGATCTCAGGAAACCCTCTGGCCTCAGCCTCCCAAAGTGCTGGGATTATAGGCATGAGCCACTGTACCTGGCTGAACTGTCGCTTATTAAGGAATAATTTTGTCAGGGCCTGTGCCAAGTGCTCTATACAAATTATTTAACTTTTCATAGCTACTCTGATGGTTACATTATGATTTCCATTTACCAATTAAGAAAGTGAGGTAATTTTAGGCTGGGCGCAATGGCTCATGCTTGTAATCCCAGTAAACTTTGGGAGGGCTGGGCGGGAGGATCTTGAGACCAGGAGTTTGAGATCAGCCTGGGCAATATAGTGAGATCCTGCCTCTATAATAATTATTAATTTATTTTTTGAGTCGAAGTCTCACTCTGTTGTCCAGGCTGCAGGGCAGTGGCACGCCGTTCACAGCCACCACAGCCTTGACCTGCTGGACTCAGGCAATCCTTCCACCTCAGCCTTCCAAGTAGCTGGAACTATAGGCACCCACCACCACTCCCAGCTAATTTTTTGATTTAGTGTAGAGATGAGGTCTCACCAAGTTGCCAGACTGGTCTCGAACCCATGAACTCAGGCAATCCTCTCACCTCAGCCTCCCAAAGTGCTGGGATTGTAGGCGTGAGCCACTGTGCCCGGTCTAATAATTATTTTTTTGAAAAAATTAAAAAAATAAAATAAAGTAAGATCATGAAAGCTACTCCCAAGGTCATACAGGTAGAGACCCAGGTAAGGTCATTACACGATCTTGTTTCATCTGAAACTCATGCAAAAGTTACTAGTCCTATAGTTCAGTTTCTTATAGGTTAAATGTCTGTGGGCTAACCAAGTTATTTAAAAGCCATTTAAAAGCACTTTAATGACTTGGTTAGCCCACAGACATTTAATCTATAAATGTGGGCCCAGGGACAGATTTGGCCCATGGGGTATGGTCTGCAGACCAGGGCTTTCAGCTGAGATCCTGGGATGTTCAACAGGGCTCTTTTCCATTAGGTCTTGGATTCTAATCATTTGTCACATCAGCACAATGAACCTCATGACAACTCCTCTCTGCTTTAGCTTTTAGCCTCTGCTCTGTACAATTTCAAAACTCTGCAATTATCCTGATGGGAAAATCAGTCTCATGGTTTATGATACATCTCCAACGCTGTCACTCCAACAGCAGGAGATGGCCCACAGCTCTGCCAGTTGCTGTTCTTTTTTATTATTTACTTTTTTTTGAGTCAGAGTCTCACTCTGTTGCCCATGCGGGAGTGCAGTGGCATGCCTATGGCCACTGCAGCCTTGACCTGCTGGACTCAGACGGTCCTGCTGCCTCAGCCTTCCAAGTAGCTGGAACTATAGGCATGCACCATCACGCCCGGCTAATTTTTTGATTTATTGTAGAGATCGGGGTCTTGCCAAGTTACCCAGGCTGGTCTCGAACCCCTGGGCTCAGACAATCCTCTCACATTGGCCTCCCAAGGTGTCCAGGAGTGTGCCACTGCCCTCCAGCCTGGACAACAGAGTGAGACTCCACTCAAAAAAAAAAAAAAATGTAGGCAGTGCTCAGTGGCTCAGCCTGTAATCCCAGCACTTTGGGATGCTGAGGCGAGTGGATTGCCAGAGCCTGCGGGTTCAAGACCAGCCCGTATTGACTGCAAAGCCTAAAATATTTATTATCGGGTCCTTTAGAGACAAAGTTTGCTGATCCCTAGGTTACATGGGCTTAAGATGGTTAAGAAAGAGTGTTCCACTAACTATAGTGACTTTTTTTAAAGTTGGAAAACTACAGGAATTAGTAATCTATAGCACTAATAAACTAGCAAAGCTAAAAATATCTTCAGCACCAACATACCTTAGATATGGAGACCTGGCTTCTTGTACAACTTCAGGTTGTGATGCTGACCCAAACTGAGATTTAGGTGACAAACACCTTTCCAAAAAAGTGTAAACCAAAGTTTAAATGCTTTGAAAGACAGGTAGTATGTACCCAATATATTAAATCCAGATTAACTGGTTATGTTTAAGATGCCTATTTGCTGCTTGGTTGATTTATCAGAGCGTATTCATCTCCTTGCCACAGGTATTTTGTTTTAGCTCCAGGACAAAACTTAAATGATTGAATATTGATACTTCTGTGAAAAATAGTAGAAAAGGAAGTAAGGGTCAAATCCAAATATTTTTGAATTCTTGAAAAATTTAACAAGGCAGAGAGCATTAAAATAATGAAAGACTGTATATTGTTCCCAAAAGTAATGAAAATGACACTTTAAGCCAGGAGAGAGAATATGTTAGTTTCTTCTTTATGCTAGAAACCCTGGCTGGGCCAGGCTCGGTGGCTCAGTCTATAATCCCAGCACTTTGGGAGGCCGAGGTGAGTGGATTGTCTGAGCCCGCGTATTCGAGACCCGCCTGGGCAACTTGGCGAGACCTCATCTCTACAATAAATCAAAAATTAGCCGGGCGTGGTAGCACGCACCTGTAGTTCCAGCTACTTGGAAGGCTGAGGCGGAAGGATCACTGGAACCCAGCAGGCTAGAGAAGTTGGGACTACAGGCATGCATCACCATCCCAGGCTAATTAAAAAAAATTTTTTTTGTAGAGACAGGGTCCTACTACATCGCTCAGGCTGGTCTCAAACTCCTGACCTCAAGGGATCTTCCTGCCTTAACCTCCTAAAAGTATTGGGATTACAGGTGCGAGTCACCAAACTCAGTCTTGTATATTTTCAAAACTGTAAAATATTCAAACATTCACATAACTGTGCTTAAAAATGGCAGAACTCTCCCAAAATGTTGGTTGTTTTCAATCGATGTTAACTTTGGATAATTTTCTTTTTTTGAATTGGAGTCTCACTCTGTCACCCAGACTGGAGTGCAGTGGCTGC